AAACGCTATCACTAAGTAAAATACTTATTAAGTTAAATTGCGAACTATCGTTCTACCTTGCACAAAGGCAGATAAGCATTTAAATCGTCGGGTCGTTGTTATGAAGAATAGTTTCTGACTCTTACTGTCTTTTCACTTTTATAAAACGCATTAAGTTACTGTTTATTCGTTTTCAAAAGTATCTTGCACATTTTGTTGTTATTATAATTTTAAAATGAGACAGTTTGAAAATTTTATAGTCTTTGAACGCACAAGCGCAAAAGAGACTACACCTTTGTCATAAAAGATATTGATTCAATGATAACAAAAAAATTATTAATTTACATAATATAATAAGCCTTTCATTTACTGTCGATAGCACAAAAAAAAATACTTCTGTTAACAGAGTTATATCATTACTTAAAATAGAGAGACAGAGAGAGAGAAATAAAAAAATACTTATCATACAAGTATTCTTTATTCGTATAATCGTCATAGACAGCGAACCATGGTCTTCCAGAAAATGTTATTCTTGGCTTTTTGCTCCTCCTCGGATCGAGAAGCTCCAACTATATCATCATTCCATTTAAATGTTGGTTTTCCTCTATTCCTTTTTTCATCAGATCCCATCCAGTTCTCTTTTAGCCACATCGGCACATCCATTTTAGCTTTCTACGTAAAGATAATATTTAAGTTCTGTATACATCTATACTAATAGTAGATCGGATATCTGTTGCCGGCCGAAACTATTGTTCATTATGATATCTTCTTCCCGGGATCCATAATAAAGAGCAAGAGTTCCACTTGGCATATAATAAATGCACTTATAAATTTCCTAACCAGCTCAAATAGCGGAGAATATCCGTCGTACATGCTTAACAGGTAAGCTTAAAGTTAACATAGATTCTCCACTCAAGACAGGGCGAATTCTTGTCGAGTATGAATACAAATTGATGGAATGCGGTCGCCATGGCAACGAGCACTCATAGGAAGCCTCAATATGAACTGCACAATTTGAATTTCAAGAGCTATGCAAAGTGATTCCGAACCTCGTCGAGATTGATTTAACTCAGTAAACACCGATATTGTCGGATCGAATTCGGTTTATTGAATTATTAACTAATATAATCGGAAACGGGCAGTTATCGGAACTAATTATGGCTTCAATATATCAAGCGCAGCAATATTGGATATCCAAAAGCATGATTGTGCCTGTTGATGTCGCACCGATGGGCATAGGTAGAGAGGTTTCAGTATAAGTACATCCACAACGTTGTTCCTGCTACTGTTGATATCTCCGTATTATAAAGTAATTACTTTCTCAGCGACTTCGTCCACGGAGACAAATTATTTTGGACATCTAAATTTGTTTTGGCAAACCTCTTCATCTTTATAGATATTGTCCATGACGTCGGTCGTGGCCTGTGTTCTTGCGAGTAAATTTTCAAAAATAGACATATAGTGCCACGGACATTTTTTTCATCATTTCAAGAAGAATAATTTTTCATATATATTTTTTGGGTATCTTGAACTGGTTTCACAGCATACGCAACGGAAACACAGAGATTGATAGTTTTCCCCATTTCCTGCTGTTTCTTCTTTTCTATTAGTCGCATCGCGATGTTTTTTAGCCTATAGCCTTCCTCCATCTAACACAAAATGAAATTTCCAATTCCCACCAGTAGTTTCTGATTAGCGCGTTGAAACAAAAAACTATTTAGTAAATATTTTAATTTAAATTATTCTACTTTTAAAAATCTATATAATAGGCAGGATTCAAACTCACAGCACAGTAGTCGTGAGATCGAATCCCACTCGTGGCATCGGTATATATATAACTTCTATAAAGCTTTCATGTGAAATTTCAAGTATATAAAACGACCGTTTTAATATACGCCCGTAATAAAACTATTCAAATAAATCTTTACCTATTAACGGAGATAATTTACATTTTCTTTGAATGGACTACGTGAAAGCGCCCAGTCTTGTTCTGAAGGAAATGCTTTTGCTAATTGATCATTACTTCAATAGCCACTCGCTTTGAAGCGAAAATAGATTTAAAACACATCAAAGTTTTTAATAAAGACTCTAGACACCGTCTTATGTTTCTTAAACACTTGTGCAGCGTTGTGAATAAGTGCTTTTAATCATATAGTAAAAAAACATCAGCTTTTTAACAGTTCCCAGTGTTAGACCTTGAGCTTTCGCAATGGTATGTACACATGGGCTAAATGCATGTTACATTAGATAAAGCACAAAAATAACATACCTAATACATACCTATACTAATACTAGCTGACCCGGCAAACGTTGTTTTGCCATATAAATAATTTTACTAAAATGGCTATTACAAAGTAAGGGTTGATCGTAGAAGGGTGAAAACTGAGGATTGTATGTATTTTTTAATGCCACATTAGAAAAAAAATCGTCAAAAAATTTAAGGGTGAACAACCCTTATCACTTAGGGGGTGAAAAATAGATGTTGTCCTATTATCAGACCAACTGAATACACATATGAAATTTGGTGAAAATCGGTAAGGCCGTTTCGATGAAGTACGGTAACTAACACTGTGACAGGGGAATTTTATATATTAGATTACAAAGCTGAATAGGTTGTTTGTTTGAACACCCTAATCTCAGGAACTACTTACGTTTGAACTCAAAAATATTTTTGTGATGGTTAGTCTTTATCGAGGAAGGTTATAAGGCTATAATATAAAAAATAAAACTTCGCGCTGTTACTAATAGAAGCGAAGATACAGCGAGAAATGTGCACAAAACGGGGGAAATTTTTCATCTCTGTGGGATTCTGATTCTGTACACTGCGAAAACGGTTCAAGATACACAAAACATATGTATAAAAGAATGTTTCTTCTGACACTATCACTCTTATTACAAAACAAGGACTAACTCTCAAACCTGGTTTAAACCACGGTTTATTTGAAACCTTATTACAAAAAACGTTTAACGTTTGTACTGGACTAACTTAGATTTATTTAGTCCACGGTTTAAGAGAACCAAGACTCCGCAGTTCTGGTTTAAGTATATTTTTTGTAATAAGGCCGTATATGTTTATCTTTTAAGATTAACTCGCAAGAACGGTAACAGCTTAAATGTATAAGAGGAGATTCGCAAAAACAAATTTGGATGGGCAAAATAACTATTCTACGCGGATGAAGTCGCTGGCACAGCTAGTTTAGTTATTGTACTATAATCCGGGCCTGCTTAAGCACTGATGAAGTAAATAATTTTCAGTACCGATATCTAAGAAACAAATCTTATCTCTTCAATACTATAATGAGCTGTTAAAATGTATCTATAACATATGTTTTAGGGAAATATTGTACATTTGAAAACTTTAATATTTTTCACACTATATTGCACATGAAGGCACTATATACGATTTTCAAATATTGTATTTTTTAAAGAAATAGTGTAAACCACATCTTATAATATCAGTAAAAAGAAAAAACGATATCCGAACATACTAATATTCAAAGTATATTGAAAATAAATATTAGGTGTATTCCTAATTTTATGGTTCGTTGAAGTATGAAATAAGAATTTCTTGTACATACTATCAGCATTTCAGTGAAGCGGTTGAAAAAGTAGATGCCATGATTAGTATTATTGAGAGAGAGAGAGAGGGAGATTTTTCCCGTTGCCTAGCTAGTCCAATAGTTAATACACTTGACTGCGCAAGATCCAGGTGACGTGGTAGTTCGGTGATTGGTATTTTTCTATAAAAATGTCTGACCCGAGTTTGTGTAAGTTCGAGGTAACGTTACTACCACTTATTTAGTACCGGTTGTGTTACAGTCACACCAATCACTAAAAGATCTCTACAGTCATAGGTGAAGAGGCTTTTTGTTTAATAGATCAGAAATATTTTAATATAGAACATTGTCAGGTGTTATTTATTACGAAACAAAACGAAAGTTAACGTATCTCATCTCATATCTATATCATAATCAATGTTTCCAAAACAATGGAATAAAAATAGTAGGCTAGATGTCCATAAGAATAATACAACATTAATTGAAGTTCTTTACAATGTTACGTTCAGAGCGTCAGAATTTGTTACTTAACCAAAGAAATTTGACATTAAAGTAAGACATTTTTAAATAAGCCTAAACTGAAAAAGGAATTTAATTTAAAATAACTTTTCGCATTTATTTAACAAATGTTATGATTCAATTTCATTTTGTATAAAACGTTGAACTTGAAGTTAAGTCAATTAACAAGAATCAATTTGTTTCAAGTTGTCAATGCACTAATTGCATGCTTCCAGAAATGTTGAATTTTCATTGTAAATGTAATATCATTTAAATAAAACACTTAAATGGTAAATCGCGATATATATTAGTTAAATTTATTTGAAAATTATTTTTAACTTCGGTCTGACGTTGACCGGCGTCTCCCCGTGACCACGGCTACTATATATCGCGTTTTAAACCGTTAAAGTGTTTTATTTAAATGTGTACTACTCGCGTAAACTACAGACAGTATTAAATGTAATTTCAATTGAATAATTGGTGGTCTGGGGGGCAACTCTTAAAAAGGGATAAATATAATTTACGGCGACGATTATGCGAGAATTATGTGAAACCTTTTACGAGAAGTACACCCCACCCCACCCCGTACATTCCTAGTGATAGAAACTTTAAAGCTAAAATAAGCCGACGGAGAATCTTGCATAGATGTTATGTAGCCGGAGTATTTCACCTTTTATCAAGGTTAACTCATGCTTCTCTGACATAAAAAACTCACCTCATAAGTGTTTGTCGTTCAGATAACATTGGGGAGAAAATACTTCTAGATATACTTTTAAATATTTATTTTTCAGCGATCGACCCTATTACAGTTCAATAAAGAATATTTATATGTACATACTTAAATTGTCCATATTATAGTATAAATACTAAATTATACATTTTATAATCAAACAACCTCTACATTTTGAAAATAATCCGATTTCAATTGAGGGTAGTTCCAGAATTCTCCTTTAGTTTTAAAACTCATTACAGAGCGATTGCCGCTACTTCACAGAGTGCGGATTCATTTCCTATTCGTTCCGAGTAAGTCTTTCCATCGAATACAAATTCTGAGAGCGGTACTGTCAAGTGGACAGTGAATTTCAAAGCTTTGCCAACTTTTTGTGAGCCCGCGGACGTCCAAATTGCTTGGCAAATCTTTGGGTACGATGCGATAGGTTTTCGAACTACCAACATTGAATATTTAGGACCGAGATCCTGGACGGTAATGGGCGCTATTGGACCGTGTCGGATTTTTTTGGCGAGCTCTATTGAAATCTTGCACAGGTGTCTCGCTAGATGTAGGCCTCTGTGTTCTCGCAAGGTAGCCAGGAACATAATTTCGAGGCTACAATCTACGCCGTATCTGAAATAGAATTTCCCATTATAGATAAAAATTAAAATAGTAGATTACTGTAACGACCGGCAAGTGAGACTTACGTAAGTAAGTTACGTAAGTATATTGACAAACGTCCATAAACGCCTAGTTTGGGCCAAGGCTTGTATAGTATTTTTTCTCAAAATATGCGTGGAGATTAAAACTAAGTTGTACAGTGGAAAATCACTGACGAAGTTGACGACCAACTAAAACAATAGTTTTATACGTGCCAAAGATTTTGTTCGAAATTTAAATTAAACCTTTGATATGTTACCACATTCATCGACGAGTTCAAAATCGTTCAATTTTTAAATTACATTACAAATATGGTGTAACATACAATATTTGGAAATATTATTATATAATTACAATATTATAATATAACATTTGGCCTCTAAACACGACAGATATGGATTTTCATATAACTATTAGCGGCCGCTGCTCGACCAGTACAGTGAATTCGATTTATCTTAAATATATATTTACGAATATAAACATAAAAGTATGTTTTGGAGTTACAGTGATGTCAGTATTATTATTTATACGACATTGAAAGTGAATTCCGAGGGCGTAGTGGCATGAGCACCTAACCTGAAGAAGGGATTAAGCGATACTAAGTTGTGCACATTAACATGTAAATTTAACTGTAACGGAAAGGAAACAAAATGTAAAGGAAAACATTATTGAAATTTTGACATATTCCAACGCTCGTGAATTAGACTCTCATAGGAGAATCGTGCCCAGCGATGGGCCTATTATTTGTAAGTATAACTATGTGTTCACCATTTTTATCTTCCCTATATGTGTAAGATTATTATGCTACTAAGATCGTCAGCGACTTTGTCACTTCACGTAGAATAGTTATTTTGGACATCAAAATATGTTTTTGCAAATTTGCTATTCATCTTTATAAATTTAAGGTGTTTCACGACCCCCGCCTCTCGTCTCTGTAGCCAAATGGTTAAACGTATTGCCTAGCATTGCGTTGAGCGCGAGAGGCTCTGGGTTCGAATACTGGGGAAACAAAATGTTTTTTTCGGTCAGCAGGGCACAGAAGTCTGATCAACTACTTGCCTGTTAAAGAATGGACACAGAAATGTGTTCGCCCCATACCCCACGAGGGGAAACGGGATTTCACAAAAAAAACTCACGACGTCGGTCTCGTCCCGTCGTTCTTGCGAGTTAATTTTAAAAAATAGAAACATTGTGTAATCTTTATAGATCATTTAAAAATAAATATGTATAGAAGAATGATTCATTCTTTCATACATGTTTTTGGGTAGCTTGAACCGTTTTTGCAATATATGCATCGGAAACCCCCGATGCGTATATTGCAAAATCGGTAGTTCTAGAGATTAGTGTGTTCAAACAAACAATCTCTTCAGTTTCATATATTAGTATAGATAAGAAACAAATATGTTTTTTTAAGTACATAAAACAATCAATTATTTACAATAAACCGTTATTAATTACTGTGTCACATTTGAGATTCTAATATTATTTAAGCTACAAAGTTAGCGTTGGTTCACGTTTAAATAGCGTTTACTATTTCACATTCGACTTGGCAAGGAAGTTCGGATGGGAACTTCTAAATCGCAGGACAATATTGCTTGACCACAGCCACAGCTGTGATTGTGCAAAGTTTCCACTGAGATCTGCAAATGGGGCAAACCTAGGAGGTTTTTGTGTTAGCGTAATTAAAGCTGCAATGTTTAAGCGAAGCTTATAAATTGCTATTATTTAGAAACGTTAGTTTGTTTTTATTACGAATAAAGTGTTTTGGAAATATTATATTGTTAAAAAATAAAAATTTTGAAGGGCTCATCGGTGTTGTGTGAAATCCCGTTTCCCCTCGTAGGGCATGGGGCGAACACATTTCTGTGTCCGTTTCACTGATCCGTTGCTTAACAGGCAAGTAGTTGATCGGACTTGTGTGCCCTGCCCAACTGAAACATTCTTTGTTTCCCGTTTCCCTGGGATTCGAAGCCAGAACCTCTCGCGCGCAACCCAATGCTAGGCAATACTTTTAACCATTTGGCTACAAAATATAGCCGACAATAAACGGGTCGTGGCTTCGATCCCCATTGTGTCCAACATATTTCTAATCGATATATCATTTTTCTGAAACATGTTTTACTTCGTCTGGAAATCTGTATATAAAATGGTTAGTAAGAATATATTTAAATAAAACACTTTAACGGTTTAAAACGCGATATATTAGTTAAACTTATTTGAAAATGCTTTTTAACTTCGGCCCGACGTTTCGGATGCTTTGCAGCAGCCGTAGTCACGGGGAGACTAAAGATGGAGGATGTCTCTGACGTCAAAGTAAAAAATTGCTACGCTAGCGCCATCTGTTCGGTCGAAGTTGGTATCTGGCGAAATCATTTTCAAATAAGTTTAACTAATATATCGCGTTTTAACGAATATATCGCGATTAAAACCGTTAAAGTGTTTTATTGAAATGTGTACTACTCGCGTAAACTATAGACAGTATTTAGTAAGAATATAGAAATTTCCGTCCGGAAAAATGCGTTAAGGTTAATCGCGTTTCGGTTTCCAATCCAAAGCCAAAATAGGTCGACAGTGCACCGTATATAGATATAATATATCTATATACTGGATTATATCATCACCAATAAATTAACCCCACGCTTGCATGTCATTCTCTATCATAATACAGTTTAAACAATGAGAATTGAAAATAACAGAAAGCGAATTGTTCTTGCTAAATCCAGGTGTATAAAACAAAAGCTATACTCACTTCTCAAACAAGTTACACCTGCTATCGACGTTCGCCATAAACTGTATAAGTGAGCGCGACGCGGCTTCCTTGCATCGCTCCTCCGCGAATATTTCAAAGAAAGCTTTCTCTGAAGCACTTGACGTTTGAACCTGCGGCAAATGGCGGGAGTTTCAGTGTAATAGACAACTGTTCACACTATCTGTCAATAAAGTTCACGTCTTGTAAACGCTGTGCACATTTCAAGGAAAGAATGCGACGCCAAAACTGTTTTCAGTTTCTGATACACAGTCAGTTCAACTTTTTAAATAAAACACTTTAACGGTTAAAAACTCGAAATGTAAAAATATTTACACATCATTTCAACCCGCCGTTTCGGATGCTTTACAGTAGCCGTGGCCACGGGGAGACTAAATCCCCCCCCCCCTTTAGTCTCCAAAGTCTAAGTAAAAAAATAATAGGTTTAACCAAAATATTTCGCGTTTTAAACCGTTAAAGTGTTTTATTTAAATATGATAGATAATGTTATTTTAATGATTTTTTTACACTGTTAACAAAAACTTTTAAAATATCGCCTTTAAAAATTAAAGTCACGTTTAGAACCATGTCTCCTTAAGATAATACAAAGCGTTGAGTCGTGATCAAAAATAATTTATTTTTAACAATAATACTAATGTATATCCGGTTTCATAATATCCTACTTACTATGAAGGACTGGCACACGAGTTGCCGACGTTACTTTACCTGGATCTTATTAAAAGTTACAGCAACCACTTCGCCTGTATCTGACGCCACAGCAACCAGCGACACCCCATCAAGCGCTGCATCAGCACACAGTTCCAACAGTTCTTCAGCTGCTGCAGCATTTTTATTAATGCCACACCCGATACAAACATATTCGTTCTGGCAGAACGATTCTCTTATCACCTGGAAAGTTATAATAAATAGAAGTATTCATGTAACAGATTTTTTAACATCAGTCTAGTTTGTCAGAAAACCCTTTTAAGTAAATAATACCTGTGGCAAGGTTTCAGCGCGGTAGCTCAATTGGTTAAAGTAACAGCTCGCTCCGCTGCGGTTGCCAGTTCACGTTCCGCTCGTGTCATTAAATTGTTTTGTTATTTAAATAGTATTTGTATTCTTGTCATCGAAAATCGTTTTGATGGGTACATTAAAAACTTTACTATTTTTCACATGTTATGTATTGCACGATGGCACTATATAATTTAAAAATCGAAAATCAATTAAAAAAAACCGACTTGGGCAGGACTTGGACCGGCATCGTCAGCGTTCCGTGCTGTTGCTCTATTAGTTATATTGAACTGCCGCCCGTATAGGTCTTGGGTTGGGTTCCCATCGAATTAGTTATTGTCAAATTAAATAAAACACTTTTAAAGGTTCAAAACGCGAAATATACAATAATAAAAGCTGACTTATATTTAATTTATTTAAGTACGGCCCGACGTACGGGGGGGACCACGGCTGCAATAAGCGATAATATGTTTCGCGTTTTGAACTGGTAACAATGTCTTACTTAAATGTGTACCATTCATGTAAACCACAGACAATGTAAATTACTTATCGATTTTTTCGGAACGAGTAGAAATCAAATCTTATTTTCCCTTTTCGAGGTTAGAAGAGCGATAGATTTCTAATAGATTTGTTTTGCAACAATTACATCCGCTAATCATTAAATATACAATTTTATAATACCGTTATCGTGCCGTAATAAATAAACAATTGATAATATGACACGGTTATTATTTTTATCATATCTTGCTCCACGCACGGGAATTGAATCCAAGGCTGCAGCGTTTCATTAATTTTTTCCCACGTCAAAATATATCTTTATTTAATTAGTACAAACGAAGACAAGATAGTCAAATCAAGTGATCTTGATAAAATGTAGGACAAGAAAATGTATGTATCTACGCACGTGTCAATAACATTCATTTAGACTTATCTAAATAAATACGAATATTTTTATATCTATAGGTGTATATATATATGTTTATTTATACTATGTGTGTTCAAACAACTAGTACAACTTCGTGCAGCGGTGAATTAATACTCTTACTTCAAATAGGATACTCACATTTAATGCTCCTTCAAACGTTTTCGTTGAAAGCGACTCTATTCTGTATTTTCCTGGAATTCGTTTTAAGCCAGTAACTATATCGTTTGGTACTTGTTACTTATTTTGGTTTAAATACATTCTGCCTCGTTCGTGTAGTGGTTAGTGCACTTAAGTACAGACTTCGAATTGCCAAGTTTGAATCGGGCGACTGAAATTATTTGTAACTAGCTATGTCAGCGACTTCGACAGGAATCATTCTGTCATACAATTTTTTGGGTCGCAGCGTTCATACAAACAAACTCTTTAGTATAGAATTTTCCGGAAAAAATTGTATTAGTCTGAAGATTCGAAGTAGGAGGTGTCTTCATCTCCGTACCTCGGTCCTGGTTGTCTCCAGTAACGAAAGTCAGTTAGTGGCGGAAAATGTTAAATTTCACCAATCCATACTGGACCAAGGTCAGTCTAAGTTTTAAAAAGCGAATATATACAAGAGGAGATCTAATCCCATTTAAGGGGCATAAAAAGGTTATAAAGAGATACATTTTAAACTTTAAAAACACTTACATTAAAAATGCCTGCGCTAAGCTGTTCCAAATCACTTGAAACGTCTTAGTAAGATTTATTTTAAATATATTTTACGTTTCAAATCGTTAAACTTAAGTTTATGAAAAGATACGATATTTGCCACTTTGTTGTTCACAAATAATAAAGTAACAATGAGAAGTATCTCTACGAATACGTAGGTATACTGTAGTAAGTTGTAAAGGTTGCTAAGTGACATTAGCGAAGCCAAATTACTTTATCTTAAAAAGTATTGATATGTTAGAAGTAAATAATTGTGTATGGTTATTTAAATTGAGCACAACAAACTAATAAAATTAATGAAACTCACCGTTATCTGTTGTATACCATTCCATTTTTAAAACCGGACAAGCTGCTTGCGCTTGCGACACTTCGGCCGAAACTATTGACCGAGCTAATAGATTAATGACAGGAGATATTTGACGTTTGACGGTTGTAAGTAACAGACATGACAATATTAAGTCATATGTCACTGTCACATTTTTATTTTTATTACTTGTTTATAATCTTCATTGTTCAACTTTTATCATACTGTAAAGTTAAGACCTTAAGCAGTCATCTGAATGTGCAGTCGTGTTAGACCGGTACGACTACCAACCGGCTTCCCTCGTAGAGACGGTCCCCTTCATATGTCATATTTTCTTTTTATTAAATATGTCTTTCTTGTAATAAAAATTGGGTGGACTTAACAATGCTTATAGTTATTTTAAAAATAATAACAAGGTTTTTTTTCAGTCTGAGTTTGTTTTAACAATCATTTATATCGGTGTTCTAGGTAAAATATCTGACTTTCAATGTACCAATAATTTAATTAAATATTTTCATATTAAATTTAAATTATTTATTCAATGGCTGCGCAAAAACGATCTTAAAAGCTTTCTAAGATGTTTATTATAGTATAGTTGGGATTACAAAACTGGAAAGTTAAACGGGTCTATGATATGAAAAGTCAGGTCCAGAAAGCTGAATCAGAGCAAAGCAATCAGCGATGCTGTCGGATGGAGAATTCAATTTCTCGAGTGCTTTCGAATAAGCTTTGAATATTATAGCTATAGCCTTCATAGCTTAGCCACGAGTTACTACTTGAGATAGAATAATTCATATAATTAGGTTATCGTTTTTGCTTCAACCTATTTCATCATCGTAGTAAAATGTTAACATATTGTAGCTCACTATGGCGAGCGCAAAACGTCTTGGGTTTGAATCGCGGTGCAATCTGCAATGGTAATTCTGACCAACTATTAGAGCAAAAGAAATCGAGAGGTTATTAATAAGATTTAAAAAAAATCGACGCTGATGTGTAGGACTTAGTAGCTCAATTAGTTAGAGCAACAGCATGAAACGTTAGGGATGCCGGTTCAACTCCCGACGGATTGTGTTTTTTTTTCAATTTATAATCCATTTTTAATTTAAATTAAATCCTCTTACCTTACTAAGAGAAAATAGGATATCGCAAAAGCGTTACATACAGTACATATATTGTATACTTATTCTGAATTCAAGTTAAGAATCAGCATTAAGTGCGTTTAAAAATCTGTTATCGTTCAGAATATAGTTTTAAATGTTCGAGCTTTCATCCAATTATATTTGAAAGTGCTAAACAAAAAATCGTAATATTTTTCACATAACCATCAGACGAGAAGCACTCGCGAGTTCCGCCGACATCAAGTGTTTGTTACGACACGGCTGGTATCATTCCGCAGTCTCCTAAAATAAAATGAAAAAGTACGTTTTGCTATGGGAACAATTTAGAGGGTCCTCTGTTTCGGATATTTTATATTACATCGCTAGTAATAAAAGAATTATTAAAAAGGCGTGGGCGTAGCGTATGTTTTGTAGAACATGGTTCTAGTTATCTGCTTCTATCTGCTTTTTCTTCTTTACTTCGTTAATATGTTAAGTAAATCCGTGGCCGACGATCCAAATGTTATATAGCTGGTGTGTTTAACCACATATCTCCCCCCCCCTTTAGTGATACCTACACACAATTACAAATATATAGCAGATTATTATGTTTAATGATTTCAAATGTATCGTAATGAAATGTCATTACAAAGTCATTCGTTCTCATTTTCATTAAATTATCATACTAACATAGATACATAAATATTATTAAAGTAATTACTTCGTCATTACCACCAAAAGTATTTCGAATTTTCAATCAAAATTTAAATTAAAGTATCCGTTTAAGGGCTCAAAAATTTTAAACTCATTAAATAAACCACAACTCCACTAATATATATTAAAATCTAGATTTAATAAAAGATCTTTGACATTGCTTTAATAGTGAAATTCAAATTTTAATTAAAAGAGGCATGTGTTGTAATATTCAATGATATGTCTGTGTAGCCTAAATTACATTCTCATAATCAATAATGTTTATTTTTTATGTCAAAGGTGCTTGTCATTTGTTTTACTAGATGGTAGGTAGTGTAAGTAAGGTAAGTACCCCAGCCATGTAACATGTCCACAAAATGCGCTGACGATATTGGCTTAAGATATTCGGCAACCCATAGTTGAAACCGAAACGCGATTAAACGTCACGGCTTTTTCATCTATGGATAGTGGTTCGTGACCCGAACAGAAATTCAATATTCCTTTCACCCGTTTAATATCCGTTAATCTCATTTGAACATTATTTTAACTATGGCCCGACGTTTTGGATGCTTTGTAGCAGCCGTAACCACGGGGGGCAGCCGTTTATTTAAATGTTGTAATATATAATTTAACTTGAATAATGTTGGACCCGGTGGGGACCGAACCCAAGACCCGTTTATTATTAGCCATGCATTGCTACCATTACACAAAGGAGCTAATCAAGCTTTTATTTATAATAATAAAACATAATTTCTTCAACTTAATATTAATATAAGGCGAAAATAGTATAAGATAACGAACCTTTGATATACAAATTACTTAAAACCGTAAAAGCAACAAGGGGAAGTGCGTGTTCAGAATTTGTAATGTGTTTCGCTTACACTAATGAATTTCATTAACTACCATGTCTCCCTGACAAGTCATTTTGGACTAAAGAAAATAGGCTTTGTTCATACAATATTCAGAATATAGGAGCCGTTCAAATCTGCATAGCAAAGTCTTTGAGCGAAGGTGACGTGAAAACATGGTCTTATCTTTTAAGTGTTTAACTTGAAAAGCAACATCATTATACTGTAGAATAAAAAATAATAATAAATTTATTGTTTTAAACAAGACATCTTAATGAAACACGGTTTAAAAGAAGTGTATCTTTTAGTTAAACAATTTATTGTAACTACGGACCGGCGGATGCTTTGTAGCACCAATGGGGGCATTCAAAACATATGTTGGTATATGCACAATTTATATCTATTCTATGAGAAGCATAATTAAAGAAACAATCATAATAGTTACTAAAATTACATTGGAATATATGTTAAATAGCCTAAGAAATGAAAGGTAGGTACTAACAGATAAATAGATTATTTTTCTTCTAGACAACACTTTCATCTATCATCATACTATGTCTATACTCTTTAGTAAACAGTTAGTGGTAGGTACTAAGCAATGGTCGACAGAACATCTTAATTACTATTATAGGGCACAGAACCTTTCGTTGTTGTAAAGAACAAAATTGCCATTTTAAATTTACACATTTAACGAATAACTTAGGTTACTAAAGGATTAAGTAAGAAACACAATACATGAGTGCTTACCATGGAATTTTTCTCCGAAATAAACAATCTATCCTCTATACAAGGCAATTTGTATTAGCAATTTGTGATTTATTGTCAGCATCGAGATAACGTAATAATACCCAGCGGGGGTTGGTAACGCACTATTATCGCCCACACAGAATCTACATACATATTGAATGTATTACGACTGTATATAACAGACTAGCTGTATCAGCGACTTCGTCCACCTAGAAAAGTAATTTTTCAAGTTTGTTTTTGCAAACCTACATTTCATATTTATAAATTTAAGTTGTTATCCACAATGTCGGACGAGTCCCGTCTTTCTTGCAAGTTAACATTACAAGATAGACATAATATAGTGTCGCGGATGTTTTTTAGATCATTTAAAGAGGAATTAGTCTTATGTATATCGTAGCGCATCGGAAACCCACAGATTAATATATTTTTTTTGCTTCTTCGCTTCCTCGATAAATAATCAAACCAACTCAAAAAGATTTTTTACTTCAAACCGAGATAAACACATCTAAACAAACAAACAAGCTCTTCAGCTTTATATATTAGTATAGATATGTCATAATTGGATAACGGAATTATTTTATTGTATGCCTTTTTAACACATTATTAGTTACTACAAGAAAATAAAAACTTAAGCAATATGGCTGTTTTTTTAATATAATATTTTTCTAGTACCGTCGTACTTGCGTACGGCTTACAACCTATCAACTCATGATAGATATCATCAGCTTTTAAAATAACAGTGTAATAACGTCTCGAAGGTCTGGAAGATTCGATATTGACCCAGGAATACTAAAGCAGCTGAATACACATTTTTTCCTTAAAAGCAAAAATAATAATTATATACGCATTTATTCTTAAACGCTTATATTAAATTATTTATGTCATACGTACTTCTTGTTATTATGCTTTGTTAAATCAATTTGTAGAGTATCACGCATCGGTATTGTCGCAGGTTCAGGCCGATTCTCGTATTAATATAAGTTAAGCAACGGCGCAGTTGCAGTGACGTTTTGTGATGGTATTCTCGTCTAACGTCAAACACGTTCGCGTCAAGTTTACGTGACGCCAACTTGTATTTGACAATTCGCTGGCGTACCTTATTAGATACGCAGTTGTCAAATTAAGAGAATACCATCGGCGCTGAATCGAAACCTAATCGATCGAAACGTCATTAAATTAGTAGAATCGGCCTGCTGATCCGTGTCAAATATTTATAGTCAAAAAATGTTTTTTTTTAACTCATGCGTATTTCATGCCGAACTTTTGCAATCCTCCGTTTCTAGAACATAATATTCCGTAATACGGAAGCAATTCATATAGTCGAGATGCCAAATGACTCTCGCAGGTACTCTAAACTGGCGTGGCAATATAAAACTGACATTTAAGCCACTTTGTCTCTGAAACTTGAAACGTGGAAATTGTACCGTTTCTACTCGCTACTAATTCTGTTAACTTTTTGTCCCAATACCGAGTTCCATAATTTAGTCTAATTCCGCACCTTTTCTCTCAGTTACGAGAACGAAATTATGCAAATTTTATTGAAGGCAGTTTAGTTTCTGTAAAAATGGCGGCTTATAATTCTGCTAAACGCTTGTGCAATTTTGAGTTTTAGCATTTTCTGGAAAATATTTTGAAGTAACAAA